TCTATGGGTGAATTTGACTGCGACAATCTTTCAAAATTAGGAAGGGAAGCAGCGATTATTTGATTATATAGACGCTTCGCCTCTGCATGTCAGTGTCACAGTAACTCGAGCAATCGTCACAACTCCCCTGCCAAGAAAGCTTTAACACTTAAGACTAGAAGCTACAAATTAGCTTAGACAATACGTGCAGGTGCAAAAGTGCGAACGCCTAAACCCAAACTTTACCTCCCTCAACCACGTACAAGTATCTGATCTCTGTGATAATCTCTGAACTTGCGATTGTGGAGAACGCAGTAGATTGCGTTTACATAATTTTCCTTCACGTTTTGAATTTGAAAAAAGAAACTCTTCATCATTAGTAATAATAGACTTGTCAACTCTTTCAAAATTTAGGGGACCCAATGTTGCAGATCATGAAATAAGAAACACAATTGCACCCAGTAGGACTGGTTATTAGTGTCATGAGATCTAGTAAAATGATCAGATTTCAGGCTGCCGAATCCAGGACAGTCCCGAGGAATTCAGGACACTTGACAAGCCTGCTCTGTTAGTTACATACAACCGCAACAACTACTGTACTGCATGAACAAGAATACTGAACGTGTGTAGGTCACACCTCCACGGGAACAGGACGAGACTACGTCACAACTTCAGTTTTGTTTAGAGTTCTCACACTCTAGTAGTAGTAGTAGCAGTAGTAGGACTAGTAGTAGCAGTACTAGGCCTAGTAGTAGCAGTAGTAGTAGTAGTTGTTCTCTAACACGCAATGTTGCAAGTCACCACTGGGCAAAAGACCCAGGACACACAAGGTAACGTTTGGCCTACACGTGTCGAATTTTCTCTTGAAAAAATAAACAAACTATGACTATGAATGTTGTACACATCATGCACATGATAGGGCCTATATGATATGCCTACTACTACTACTTACTTAAGAGACAAACACCAAAGAGAACGGGAGACCCAACCCAAAATGTCGCGGTGCCTTGTGTCGATGAGTCACCCCATAACCAGGCACACTGCCGAGAAATACATCACGCATAGAACAGATTCTAAAGAAAAAACGAAAGTGAGGGGCAGTGAGTGAGAAAGAGTCAATTAGGCCATCGGGTATTATATTAACGACATGTTTGATTGAGTAAAGAGAAGCGCACCGACACAATAATGGTCATTTAGTGCTGGAAAAAAGATCGAAAGAAACAGCAGACGGAAAGTAAAGAAGTGGGACAAACCAAAGGCGCCCCGCCCCCCTCCCTAAAAATAGTAAGAGTGTAGAGTAAATTAACCGACGTTCTCTTAGACTAACTAACTACATTTCGGAAATACGGAGTTAATACTCACCCTGTAAATAGGGCTAAGTACCATGTATACTATAATATACACTAGTTACAACCCTGTGCCTGAAAAAAAAATAAAGTAAAGACTAAAGGTGAAGTGAAGACCAGACGAACGTTTAGTCAGAATTGACCTTTGATCGCCAAAACAGCGGGCTATACTGTGATAAGGGACACTACCGGCAGAACGTTTAGTTTTTCTTTTTCGTTATTACAATAACAATCAGCAGTTTGTTTTACAGCAATGAGAAACACGTTATCTGCGCATGGCGCTATAAAAATAAATAAAAAGAATATTTGAATCCAATCAAGACTTGGTAAAAGGCTGCTACCAGGATCAAGTGAAAGCAGAGAAGAGCAGGGTGTCGACTGCAAGTCCCGTTTCGTTTTAGTTTTAGTACGACTTCAACGGCACTTGGCGCACAATTAAAATTAGGTCATGATGATACAAGTGCAAGGGATTGCGGAATTGTAGGCTAGTGAGGTTCACTTTTCAACACCACTCCCAGCACTTTAGTATCGAAGAGGCGTGACCTCCCCCCAGCTTAACGTACACCTCCAAGAAGACCGAGCAAAATGGTTCGATAGCCTTGAAAAATTCCCCAAATCAAACCAAGTTCGGAACATTCACTCCCTCAGGGTTATCCGCTCCTCTGTCCAACATTCTGACCGAGTGAGCTATCAGCGCGCCAGTCACTACAGAGTAACATGCAAAGTGAAGGAGGAGGAGAGATGGATGGCAGACAGATGTTTGAGAGGAACAAAAGATCAAACCTCACCAGAGCACACGCCAAAGACCCAGGCAGTTTCATACGCCACACACTTCTATGCATTGTCTATGTCCTGACGATTACATAGAGGCCAAAGGGCTGTCCATCTCTAGAACGTAGTTTTCACTCAGTGTTGGTGGACATGAGGTGCCAAGTCTCGTTAAGATAGAAAAAAGATATTGAATCAATGGCATAGATTCACCATTCCTTTCAACAACTAGAGAGTGGTAAGAGCGAGGACCAAAGTCAAGTATAAATTGCTCAGCAAATTCACTAGGAAGCATTGTGCATTTTTTAATAGTTTTTTTTTTTTTGTCGTTCTAGTTAGGAGTTTCACGACACTTGCAACACAATGAAGTCACATAAGTGCCATGGATTAGCTGTTGCAATAAATAGAGAGAGCAACATGCACAAAAAAGGAGAAAAGAAAAGGATGAAAGATGTTTCATAGATAGGAAGGAAGGAACCAACCACCCACACCATTGAGTTTCAAATCATGGTGTCTATCACAAGTCAACCATTTTAACAACTGAGGAATTTCTTGGACAAAGCAAGTCCTAGCAGAAGCCACTTAGAAGAACTAAACGTTAATCATTGAACATCCATGGCTGCGAGCGTTTGAGTAAAGAGAAGCACATCGACACAGTAACGGTCATACAGTGCAGGGAGGCAAGACAGACAGAAACAACAGTGGGAAAGAAAAAAAATGGACCTACCCAGTGGCGCCCTCTAGCCACCCATAGGCTGTAAGCCAAGACAAAACCATAACTAGCATACTCTATTATTCTATACAGTACTAAACTCTATACTCTATAGAGTTCCTTGTCCCATGACATGAGGGCAACCCATGATCAGAGAACGAGTTTTACTTTTAGAACATGTAAATGTAAGCAGGCCTAATCGAGTTGTTTTTGGGAATCCTACCTCCAACTTTTGACAGACATCTGATTCATAGCCAAGCTGATGCCGTACTTGCGGCTGAACCATATACACTGGATCAGTCCTTAACAGATGAGATGGATAGTCAGCCATACCATAAATGTGCTCTTTCCATGCTCCCATGACCTACATGGGCATTGTGGGTGCCAAGTAGGCCTATAAATGCTTTTCCTTTTTCTGAGAAAATCGTACGTGTAACTTTCATCCTCCGATGGACACCCTCGATATTCCAACTCCCGATTCTTAACCAAACATCCCCAGCTCATATTTGTTTCGATTTAGAGAAGCAGAAGCACACCCACACAATAATGGTCATTTAGTGCTGGGGAAAAGAAAAGACAGACAGAAACAATAGAAAGTAAGGAAGTAGGACCTACCAATGTCACCCTCTAATTAGAACACCCCACACCCCCAGCACAATAATGGACAAGACACACAAACGAAAAAAAACAGGAACGAAGAAATGCAAGTATTTTGTTAAAAACTTCTAATGAAGTGTGTATTGAAGTGTACAAAACGTACAGCACACATCAAAAGGCAAGGCTGCACAGTAAGAAAGACAATTCATGGAGCCCTCGTACATCGCCATCAATTAGCACAATAAAAGTAAGAATCAGAAATAAATTAAACACAGTTACTAGAAATATATTCGGGCTCCAGAAAAGGGGGATGACTGTCCTCTTAGTGTGCCGACTTGCATCACATTTAGATCAAGGGCAAAGAAAGGTTGGCAATTTGAAGTCCTGACTCAATAAAGGTGAGATTTGTATTCATCATCTGCAAACAATGTTCATTGTACACATGCACGAGCAAGATTCGCAGAGGGTAAAAACAAAACAACAAAACAGAACTGACAAATTTAAAGTAAGTTAAAGCACTGAACCAATAAAATAAATTATTTTAAACATGTCTCTGCTGTTGTAATTATTGCCAAAATGGGACCTTCCGTTCCTTGCCAAGACAAAAAGGATTTTTGTCAAATGAGTTGACCAAATGACAATGACAAAAATACACTTCACTATTTTTGATGGACTAAAAATGACCATAACTCTTAAATATAGTAATGATTATTATACATGTGATGTGAAAAAAAAATAAAGTATGCACGTTGAACTGCTGGTCAAAGCGTGCAAGAATTTCTTTAGAATCACTTTTCTTAAACACAAAGGGGCAATCGCACACATTTGTCAGATATGAAAACTTTCAAAGAGGGGATGGAAAAAAAAAGAGAAAGCGCACAGATTTTACATCACATAGACAAAAAATATCTCGCTCATAGGATCAATCTCTTCAAATTGTTGATCATTTTCCACAGCTGCCACATGGTTAAGGTACATAAAAAGAAAAAAAGACTTCTGTAGTAGAACATAGTATTTTTTTTAGTCGGAATAGATTAAATTACAACGAGAGGTAAGCCAAAATCTGGCTGAACTTGTGCCAAAATGCCACCAACCCCTTTAACAGAGGCCTCGACCGCTGTTCTCAAACACATACGGAAGGGCACATGAGGAAACATCCCTAAAGACTTCTTTAACAATTTATTATATTTGTATATACCGTCAGTAGGAACACCCTTCTCAAAAAGTGCTCTTAAGTTAATAGTGGTACTGCAACTTTCCAGAAGAGGCAATGTACTATTAATCCTTGTTCATTTTTAACAAATCAATCGAAGAAGCCCCTGAGACAAGAATATGCTGTTCTAAGCAACCAAAGGTTGATCGTAAATTTTAACGACACGTTTGACTTGTATAAAGAAGCAAAGTGCCAAAATTTTCACATGGTACGAAACAGTAAGGCAGTCGAAAAGGAGAAGAAGAATATCAGTGTTCTACTATTCTGTAAAGGTATCAAGAAGCTTGAACTCTTGAAGGAGCAAGGGATCTGCTGCCTGTGTAGCTCTTTATGCAATGAAACCGACTGTACATGACTTCTTCACCTCAAATCAAAACAGCGAATGAACACATCTGAATAGTGAAAGAGAAACTTAAGATAGAAAGCAACTAAATCATTACACACTTTCAGAAATGTAAGCATGTGGTTCTCACACTATTATAGGCAAAAGAAAAAAAAAAGGGGGGGGGGGGGGATAACAGTATAAACATGTTGAAAACTATTCATTCTTCTCGCACTCGTATAACATTGATTGGACAAATGTGCATGAACATGTAAGCACCTTTTCCCCTTTTGACCAATGAAGCAACTGTCAAGACTGGGAGATGATGCCACTGAGATGACGAGTAGGTACAGGTGTCGCAGTATCAGTTAGCCCCTGCTAGTGCTACAGATTATCAACAACTTTAAATTCACCTAAAAGAAAGTGAAACCCTGTGTCACAAACGTCAACCGAAACACACCAGAGTACAGCAGAAAGTACGGGTGAGATAGAGTTAAGTGAAGAATAGTGTAAAAGAGCAAATGTTAAGAACAGAAATAAAGGTCAAAGTAGCTTGAACAGCACGTAGAACAAAATTGAAAAAAGTCTACAGCTAGCTTGCAAACTCAAATAACTTAAGACATTTTCTTTCACTTGAAAGAATCAAAATTCAAAGATCTCCCAATTTGCTCTCAGTTAAAACAACAAAAGTTTTAAAATCATAAATAGTATACAATAAATTAAAAGGCTATAGCTGAATTTACAAAAGCTATACAACAGAAGAGAGAAAACTGGTACAATAAATGTTATTATTCCTGATATTTAAGATCAATCCTGCGACATCTAGTGCATAGCATGAACACATACGTCATACTTTCAAAATTAACATAAAGACAAAGAATAGAGACCCGCAAATGATTTCACATGAAAGGAACACCTGTAAGGCATCTTTCGGAAAGGCACCATCGGGATAAATCTCTCTACACCACTAGACACATGAAGCCATAGCGTTGGCTAGAGCTACCATTCCCGTCGCATTGTGATAATACTATGAAGTATATGACCTGGAATAAAAATCATCATCATTATCATAATAATCGTCATCCATGAAAAATAAAATCATTGGTCCGCAGGTGCAAAATTGACCCAAATCGTAACAGTGAAGAGTTAAGAACGTGCATCTACAAACAGATCTTTTTATTCTGCACATTTAACAATGCAGCTTCAAAAAACCAATGAGAGGGGAAACGGGTAGGGGACAATAGACTTGTCTCAAAATTATTATCACATCTTTTTGATAACCTAGAAGCAGATCAACGATTCACTTAACTCTTCACTGTCATTAATTGATTACACATATGATTCATCAGACAGTGAAAGCACCAAGGGTATATCTAATAATGTGTAATAAATTAAAAGGAAAAAAATCTCACATTTCACAGATAACGACACCTCAGATGGGTTTACAATGATAAGAAATAAAAAGCAAACTAGGGGACTTCCCTTTCACTGCTCTAATCATTAATCCGAAAATTAACAGACCTATGAATGTCTTAGGTCAGGGGAGGGGAAAAAAATCAAGGTATGAACCAAAGAACACAAATCTAATACACAGAACAGCACCCTTTAGCTTTCATTTGTGTTATTTTTTTTTTAAAAGTATAATTTAAACCAAAAAAATAAACCTTAAACTTTATAATTTACTCAAAATAACTGAAAGAGCATCCTAGTACAAGTGATTAGAAAAAAATCTAACACTACTAACAACTGACTTCGATACGATGGTGTGGAAAATAGCTAGATCTACATGGCAGTTGAGACTTTATGTATTGCATTGTGATAATCTCAAGGACAGTCAAGATGTGAAAAATTTTTAATTACAGATCATGTACTCAGATCTAATCATTTCTCTCAAATCAGGCATTAGACTACAGAGTACAATAAATTTGATAATTTAACACCGCTTACAAAGAAAGACTTCTGTCCCTGATCTTAGAAATAAATACATAATATTTGGGCAATTCTTAACCACTATAGTGCTTGCTTTGTTTACACACACACGTTTCCTTTAATAAGAAATTGGAAATTAAGTATGAACACGACAGTGGAGTCATTAACATAAATGCCATTGATTTATAAAAAAAAAACAAGCTATGTGACACATACACAACATATGTCAATGTCATGCTTGTTACCCTTACATACAACAGCTATGACCATTTATTCAAGGACATTACATCACTATTGCAAATGTCAGACATACACTTCCAATGTACAACTTTGAACGGGAGTAGTGTGGGCAGAAGTCAGCCTCTTTCATTGTCACTCTTTGTTTTTCTTAAAATCTGCACATATTCAAATAATACCTTCAGACATCACATCGAGTTATAATGCTTTTAACTCTCAAGTAGAATATATACACTTTCTAATGAACACATACACTTCTCACACCCATTCATACACTGTACATAATTGTCCAAATCAAATGTGCGTCCCAGTAGCAAACATGTAATGTACATAAACTCGATATCAGTATGCAAAAGCCATTCCCTTCTCTCAGTCAGTCAGTCATCTCTTTCTCATTATGTGCTGCATTCAGCTGAACCAAATCTCCAGTAAGTTAGTCCGCCATTCATAGCTCATGCTGCCCATGCCTGCAATCATAAGCTGCTGCCATTAGAAACCCGAGATCCACTGGGAAAAGGGAGAGAAGGATGCAACGTTGTCACGGCAAAAGGGGCCGAGATTGTCACGGCAACCGGAACTCGCCAAACTCTCCGTGCTTCCACTACAATCACTCCCGCTTCCGTCAGAGCCCATGGAGCCAGTCGGAGAATGGTGGAAAGGGTCAACAGGGCGCGACTGGGAGAGTGCATTCTCGCAAGACTGCCAGTACAAATTGGTATCCACGTAAGAGAAATTATCCAACTTCACAGACTGCATACTGTAAGGGGAAACTGAAGTTGAGGGGGCCTTCGGAGCATTATCCAATTTAACTTCCTCACTATTGAACATGGTAACCTCACTGAAAATATCATATTCTTCGCTGCCAATGGGCCGTGGGTCTCTCTTGGTGCTGCCGCTTGTGAAGACTCCGCCAAAAACATTGTTACCTGCATTGTCATTAGCAGAGTTCTTGCTCAAAGTAAGAACTGAATTAAATTGCTCCACAGTTTGAAGATCTATGTTGTTGTTGCTGCCATAAGTGTTGATGTTTACAGACAGAGAACAGAACTGGTTATCATCCGCATTCTTGGCCGGCATGTGTGGGGTGCTCTCTAGCTGGTATGTGAATGCACTGTAATCGTTGTCGCTACCCGAAGGACTCAGGGACGGGCTGCTGCTACCACTGTTGGATGTTGGTGTGTAGTTGCTGCTTGCTCGGCCTGGCGCTGGTCGTCCCGGTTTTGGCGAGGGTTCACTGTTGACCTTTCCATCGTCTTCATGAATGAAGTGGCACCTGGGGCCATAGGGACAAAATCCAATTGTGTGAAAGGTGCGACAGAGTTCAGTTTTGTATTTGGGATGACGGGCAAGGTTTCTAAGTTCATGGTAACCGTGTGCAAACTGACATTTGTCCCCATATTTACAAGATCCACTCTCCTCAAATGGCCTGCAGAGTTCAGTTTTGTACCTACTGGAATTTACAGATCTGTGGGATGAAGAACAACCATTGCTCAAGCGATCGCTGTCGCTATCGCTCAAGCTCCTGTCAAGTTTGCGATGAGACGTAGAGGTGCCACCCATACGAATTTGTTGGATAGCAGAAGAATTGTTTCCAAATGGGGCGCTGTCAACATTGACAAAAGTGAAATGATTGTCCGAATACTGATTATCCAGGTTCAACGAGCTGCCGGAGCTGCTGCCACTGGCTGTGCTGCCATTGCTGCCACCAGACAAGTTCCGCATGCGAGTGTTCTGAAAGTTGCTGCTGGGCATCACGTTGCTGATTGTGCTGCGGCGTTCAGGGGGTGGACCTGTGTTGCGGAATACTCCCTGACGTCTAGTCCTCTGCAAAGATATAACAAGAGCCAATATAAGAACACAAGTCAACTTTGTGTGAAAACAAAGGAAACATCAATTTCGGATAATATATGAGCATGTAGGCCTACTTTCATCGCACCCATCTGTAACCCTTAGTTGCTTGAAAGTATTGAAAGGAAACCCCTTTTCTCTAGGCTTCACATAAATGATAAACCCTTTTACTTCTATACCGTTTTATCATTATACAGCAAGAAAACAGTGCTTAAAGAACTACTCTAGGCAAGACTTCTAAATGCATACCAATGGAAAAGTGGTTAGATTCTGAATATTTACTACGAGAAACAAAAATAATCCCACAGGACTTCCGATTCCCGACCATGCTCATAAGAGCTTCAATAAATTATGAAGATTGAAGCAATTATGAAGTTCAACCTAAACGTAGGTAATCCCATTTACAGCTCCTATCAAGCCATCTCTGGATCTACATTTACGTCCGTATCCTTCATCCACAAATCAATTCGTCCTACACAACTGGACAACTGGGTCCTCCCCGCCACATCTATTTTCCACTCCCACTTCGGGGCGAAAGTGCTTGCGCTTGTCATTTCGCAGGCCAAGTTGAGATCTACTAACAAACCGAACGGCCTTGAAGCGCACAAATAGAAACGCGTCAAGCCAGCCCGCCTGCGTAAACACGGAACACTGCCTGCTCGGCGCACAAGGCCGACAATCCGACAACCTCCCTGCCATCTAATTGATTCTTTTTACTCCGGTCAACCGCTGCACTGGTTCCTCGAAAGAGAAACCAATGAACCTCAACTAGAAATCTAGATATTTACACTCTGCCTATTTTATTTTTTAAGGGAGGGGGGGGTGCTTTGAAAATTATGCATGGGATAAGACAACGATGAAAAGTGCAGCGAATCTTACCCGCGAAAAATAAATTTCACCTGGACGTAAGTTAATTTCTTTTTTTTTAAAACCCAAATTCCGCTCTTTCCGCAACAGGCCCGCTAACACGAAGCATGCCAAAAGCACTGACACGACAAAACAGTGCTAAGAATTGCCGACTAGATCATGCCAACTAGTGTAGCCTTCATACAGCAACCTGGCACCACCATGGCCCGCTAGGCTTAGCCGAGTCGGACATCGCGAGAGAGGAGTGAGAGGAGGAAAACGGAGACGGGGTGAAGAAACGTAGAGCGAGAGACCCGAGAGACGACC